TAATATTAGTCTTGAACTTCTGTTAAATAAAATTTTTTTAAAAAATAATAAGAACAAAATTGACATATTAAAAAAATCCTAGCCGCCATTCTTTTCGCCGAGGACTGTATAAACGATTTTGATCTAATATGTTGATTAGGAATACAAATCGACTTACTCTGTCATGTTTTCTTGTAGAAACAAAATCGGAAGCATGCAGATAAGGTTATAACTTAAATTTATTTAACAAAAAAAAAATATCTTTAACCTTCCACTTCAGTCATACAGTTGAAATATATCTTCGGATTATGAATAAAATACCTCTTGCGATTTATTTTAGGAAGGAGAATGTTCTACGAGGAGACTCGGAGATAGTACATCCGATGATTATGATATCAATTTAAGTGAAACTGACTTCTCTGACATGAATCATGAAGAGAAAGTAAGTTAATACCCATGTGTAAGAGATGAGATATAAATCAATATTGAAAAGCGCCTATGTAATTTTCAGGAGGAATCCAATAAAAGAAAACAGAGTGAATCCGATGTAAGTTGATATCAGATGGATTATTTAATATGCAAAATATTATGTGACCAAAGTAATATATTTTGTTATTAGTATGAACTAAATAGCAGTCCTACTTCCTCTGATTCGGACAATAATCGAAAAAAAAAGGTAAAAAATGACGTTAAAAAGTGATAATATAAACCATTATTAAGACTTTACACATAATCTAGCAAAAGACAAGCGAACGAAAACAACCAAAATCAAAAGTAAGAGTGAGACATAGAAATTATTGCAGTAGTGTATGTACAGTACATTGGATTTATTTATTGAGATTTTTTTGGAGATAATATTTTTTATCGTTGAATACTAACTCATCAATTATAGCAAATTCAGACCAACAAGAATGAAGATAATCCAGCACCTGCAATAAATCCTATACCTAACAATGTGATAATATCACAAGATTTACCAACGTTGGTAAATCAAGATCAATTATCAGTCACAAACCCTATCATCCAAACCCCGGGGACTCCACCGCCAAGGCCTAATGTCAATAATATACAGGTTACTCCTCAAAAGTCGGTGCTTTTTAAGGAATCCGTCGATTTTATACTCCTCAAGTAATTTTTCTATATATTCTACTTCAGATCCGATTGTCCCAGCATCGATTTTATTACCTTGTAATGAGTCTTCGACCCTATTCTTTTCTGGCGTTTTCCCATCTCTGATTGATGTTTTTTCTTTCAGAATATCCAAGAGAGAACTATCTATAACTGGTGCCTCGTCGTTAGGTGGGCGAAGCATAAAATCAAAGATAGTGCCATCTTCAGACATAACAGCTCTTTTTGGACGAACACTCTCATAAATTATTTTACCAGTTTTCTCACACTTTTTTTCGATTAGCTTTGGAGTTCCAAGCATTCGCAAGGAGAATGAGCTTTTCTTTGTAATATTATCAACAATTCCCTTCTCTTGTAAACCCACTGGGAGTTTATTACAAACAAGTTCAACAAATAAAGCAACTTTGGCAATATTTTTGAGTCGTAAGCCGAATGTCGAAATATGATATGACATTTTTTTCTGGTCGCAACTACTGGCAATAGTTAAGGTTTTAATATCCCATTCTGAATAAATCTCAATACACACCTCTCTGAAAGCCCCGATTAAAACATAATAAGCTTCTTTACGTGTAAGTTTTGGTTCGATACTATTTAGTGTTTCCTGGGATAAATCGAAATCGATAAATGGGCGAAGTGGGTCATCACCATCAATAAATTCGTGTAGTGAATGTCCCTGACGCTCTGTAAATATTTTTTCTATTCCATCCTCAGAATCTGTACCAAGAAATTCATAACTATTGGTATCATCACGTATTTTATATAAATATTCAGCTATACTTTTGGCTTTAAGCCCCCGGTGGTAGGACGCCCCGCTATTTTCTTCCTCTATATCTATCTCCGGCTCGAAATTCTCCGAGTT